GGCGAAGCGACGCCTGCAGTTGGACAATGCTCCACAGGCTAGCTTGTATGCTAGCTTCTGTCATCAAATTTGTCTATTAGGGTGATCTATGTCGAAGAACCTGACATTTTCCAGGAGGGCTAAAATACCTTTTTATAAGTTGTACAAGTTAATTGCATCTTCGAACCCCATAAGTTATCTTTTTTACAACTTAATGGTAATAATACAAGTCCGTTTTGTTTGGTAAAGCTCAGCCTTGTCAATACGCCTTTGGCACTGCGAAAGTAAGGCACCGTTAGGTTTGTCTGTAGGATCTATTGAAAACATACTTGTTAGAGCTTTAATCAATCTGTTTTTTGTCAAGTGAAAAACTGAGCGATCATTTTTCTTACAAAGAACATGGATTTCAGGCGTAGTTGAGGCAACTATTGACGCTGCAAGTTATGAGTAAGCATTAAAGATGTAATAGATTTTGTACAGGTAGTTAAAAAAAACTAGGAGCATGGTTTGCATAACCAAAGTACGGCACAACCACTGAGGTAATTGAAGCTCAGGAGGCAGCAAATGTTTCCGCGAGTTGTCTCTACCCTCTTGTTAGGAGTGATCTGCTGTTGTTTATGCCATACCACCAACATGTCGGACAGCGAAAAGAAATCAACGACATCAGCTAACTGAGCTTTGCTTGCAAAGACTTTTGACTTCGTTTAGAGCATTGGCCTCTTAATTGCTGCTTGTTTTTGGAGCGTATGGTATTATTCTGTAGGCTTTGACTACGTTCGAAGCACGGGGTGTTCTTAAGTCGATGCACTCTTTTTATCTCAAACCTCATTCCATTTGCTACACAACTCGCCTGACAAGGAAATAGTTGAACTAATAGATGGCTATTAGCCTGTACCTTATTTCTTCACAATCCGATCCAAATTCTTCAGTGATCCTGATATTTGGGGATGAACAACTTTCATAATAACATCTCATACTGGTGTGGCATTATTTATGGGAGCCACTATTGTTTGTAAAAAAATCCGATCTAACTTTGAAGAAAACTTACTCTTAAACACTTGACACAATGTTCCCATGCACAAGCTGGCACTACCGACGAAATACAACTGTATGCATTACGCGGATTAGTATCTTTGCTACTACTTACTTTTAATGGCTGGTAAAAGCAGACGCATTGTGCACAATGTGTCGAGCCATACCTAATGACTACTGCATGCCAAACAAGTGAAGTGCTTCTTTATTAGAGGATCCACTGTCTTATCGAGTAGTCTCCATAGTTTCGTGCGCCTTTAATCCGTGGATTTTTAAGTCATTTCCAAGGGTCTCGTTGCCCTAAAATCAGAATCCTACCTTGATTTTACTTAAAAATTTGTAACAAGGTTAATAATATGGTGTGAGTAAATAAAGCAGACTTAGAGCGTGGTGCAGTCTCTACGAAGCCAGTGTGGCATTATAATGGTTTTTGGGATGCCATTTTTTCGACTTGACCACTGGTCCTAAACATATTCCACCTCCACTAAAATGTCGTTGACTTGGATGATATAATTGGGGTGAGCTTTCCTGACCGTGGGTTGGAGGCTAGGCATTATGTTGCCACACAAGTAAGCCTGAGATTTTGATGACACTATGGATTATGCCAATGGAAGGCATTTAATATTTCACCTTAAAAGCGGTACAAAGATGCTTGCCTCAATCACTGTATACGATGAAATACCTTACTAAATATTAGGCTTCGGAAATTCAACTCAGGTTTCTGCCTTCTTGGACAAAGCACTCTGGGTTATCCCTGCCATGATGGCAACGCGAGCGAATGGCTGAAGAGTTCTAAACTCAGGTGTAAACCATGCTCTTATCTAGTTGTCAGGGTCGTGATCATACAGCACAGCAAAAAGGCATTCGTGTGTGAATACGATGCCAACCCTCTCACTGGCATTTTAATTTTCTTCTTGAAGTGGATACGCATTTTCTACTTCCTTGTAAATTGGTCTTTTCTAATGCATTTGAATGAAGTTCTCCCAAATGCAGCCAATTCATCGTCACCTTCCAACCTCCTTTACATACGCAAACAGGACGGATCGACTCTTGACGGTTATACCATCCAATGCTTCGTTCGACTCCAGTGATCACTGATGTCCTTCTCTTGACGAAGACTTTTCAGCTGTTGAAGAAATTATTGCAACACTTGTGAATTACATGAAATCACCGGAAGCATGTATGCAAAACCATTTAACGCGCTCTTCACTGCATTGAGTTATATAACAAGGGAAATACTTTTCCTATGGAGAATCTTTTGCTGCAGTTTTCTGCTCTCCCTTTGCTCTTGGTGGAAACCGCGGAGACTGTAGAGCGCCTTTTGAACTTGGATCAGTCACAGGAATGTTGTTTGAGATGCAGCAGTCTGATTGCTATCTCGACAGCACAGCCTTCACCCCGTCAACCGAAAGAAAGAAGAATCCTTCAGCCTATTCCGATTCAATCAGCAACCTTAACAGCAAAATGTTAAATGAGCCATCAGAATGCCAGCCTCTGTTTATTAATAAAAGGACTTATCACCGTATCTTTACAATTAAGACGGCCCAAACGTAAATCAATAGCTGCTGACAATACGGCCTGATAGCTGTAACAATCTCAATCTTGACACTATGCACCTATTGAAGCGGTACACCCAATTGTTTGCTTTACCAATTGATCCCTCCAAAGGACGTTGTAAAGGCGATATAGCAGGCAAATACATTACATTCAGTAGGATGTAAGCATTAGCGAGTCCAAACTGCTTCACGCATTAAAGAATAGCTGTAGCACAATCTTCGGCTCTCTCGCGGCATACAAGTGCTGTTGCATCACCCGTATCGGAAGACTATATCCAGTGGCGATGATGACTATCAAACACAATGGATGAGGAAGTGAGCACCGATAATGAGTGAAATAAGCCAACTCGGAGACTTTAAACTCCATTTGTAGATACCAAACCCCACTTAATCACAAACGTGATCCCCTCACGTCCGTAGCAGCTCAGCGCTGAGGAAGAGTAAACACCACCTGCAAAGCAATTGAATGCATAGCAATTAACCAAAAACGACACCATCGCGAGGGTTCATAACGCCAAGGTTACTTCACTAGTGTTGAATGCAAATACATCCTACAAGATTAACTGGAAGCGCAACACCCACTCCGACAGCGTACAACTAAACTAGGGCTACAACACATAGTGGAGACCGAAATCCCAACCCCTGAGAGCACAGCCTCTACCTTATTAGAGGCTCAACGCGCCTACGGTTCCATCAGAGCAGAAGAAACCCACAACCGCAAATCATAACTATCCACCAATTCAAGAGCAACAGATGACCGCATTAGTATGTACATTGTGTCGCCAGGATAGAGGTATGTACAGGGGATGGTGATAAAGTCCAGCCAATCAGTTTTGGGAAGTGGAATCGGGAGCTGAAATGGTGGAGCAGTTAGCGACCTCCGCCCCTCTATCAAATGGATCGTGAGGAGTAACCACACCTGAAGTTATATCCCAATTCGTGAAGGGCACAGTACTCGAAATAATTGCAGACTGGAGAACGTCGCCAACGCAGGTGGCATTCGGAGTGGTGTCAGAGGACTCGAAAGAGGGGTTTGCATTTAGTGCTGCAGGAGAAACTGCTGAGGAATAATTCGGGGTTTGAGGACAGTAGCGCACAGGCGGCGGACCTGCAGGTGCCCCAAGTGTATCGGACAATGTGGGAGAGCCTCCCCAAAAGTGGGCCGCCTCACGACAATCGTTGCGAATGGAGGAGGGAGTCGCACCGTACGACTTCGAGCACAGCATAATGCACCTCTGAAATGATTCATTTGGGCGTGGAACCTTGATTTTATCAAAGTACGAAAAACCAATATCAAGAAGGATAGGCTCCAGGTTTGATGGGTCAATTGTCATTGCCTTGTAGTTTTCTTGTTGTTTAATCTAGAAACCCCGTTACTAAGAAAAAAATAAACATACTGTAAACCTGCTGTTCTTATAGGAGGCCTTTGGTTGGGGTTCTAACAAAAGATGACCACCAGGCTTCAGTAAGTTAAACACCCGACGAAAGAAGCGCATCAAACCCGCATCACCGTAGTTCAAGTGTATCCATTTAGTGACACTGAAGGCGAGAACTATGTTGTAGGTGGGATCATCATCCGTGGATGCACAATCACTCCAATCGGCAACTTGAAAGTTAATTTTCTCAAAATTTGCACAATTCTGGTTCGACCAACGAATCTTCTCCCTTTGTAAGCTTTTGGCGTTTTCAATCAATTCTGCATCACAATCGAAAGCGTCGATCCTGTTTACGTCAGGGAATTGCTCGAGAATCTTAAATGTAACTGTACCATTGTGACATCCATAATCCGCGACATCACTGTTTGAGAACCACTCAGGCATGAGAACTTTAATCCTATCATCCGGATTCCGCCTGGAATAGTAATCAGGATAGTTTCCGGTAAGAGGCATCCGCCTACCTTGCCACCTCAGCCTCCGCGAATTCCTTAAACCCAAACCACTAGCACGGTAAGACAAGGGACTCCTCTTCCCGTTGCGATTAAGTGAGGATCGCGAGGGATTTGAATTTGGAGGATCAATAGCATTAGGACTGGTTCCGTCAAGCTCACCATTTACGCTCAGAGCGGGAGTATTAAGACGAGAGTCACCATGTGGTGGAGAAAGCCCTTCAATTCGGCGACGATCTGTCTCTTTCATAAGGTCCTGGAGATTTAGAGGATCACTCGGATTGAGAGCAGGTTTCCATTTCTTAGAGTAACGACGCCTACATTTTGTGTGATACTTAGAGGAACGAAATGTAGATGACCGCAAGTGGGACGAAATAGGGCGTCTAACGGTCCGACTGGCAGTCAGGTGCGAATCAAAAACGTAATTATAGGATCGTTGTGGACCACGCGAAACCCAGCTGTGTTGGAATAATGGATGGAAAGGTACAGGTGTACGAAAACGCCAACGGTAAGGGGATGTAAATCGGGGCTCGGCTAATGAAGGCATATCTAGAAGCAAATGTTTTTAAATTAATCAACAGTTACTACTTAAACTAATATTAAGTAGGCTGACCGCAAAGGAAAAAAAACTCAAACTCAACGACTTCCAACGCGCATATTAATCGACAATATAGAGATGACATTCGCTTACGATTGTACCCAGACCAGAACTGAGGCCTCGTCCTATTTCTTTGCATGGCAGCGTAGACGAGAGAACGCAACAACCCGCCAGTATAGCATAACTAAAATACCCGTGGAGCAACAAACGCGCTTATATAAGCTTCCATAAAATATAAAGTGAATTCAAATCAAGTGATTTTGAATATTTATAGCATCAAACACAAAATTACCGTAAAAAAATAGCCTTTATACGAAAGAAAGTGTATGTTTATCAGCTAAAAATTTTTACAATTTATCATCTTACCAATGGTTAATAGACCGCACAAAAACATTAGAATAAGATACAATAAATCCTAATATTTTAACACCATCATATAATGTAAATAGTTCTTGATAGGCTGGCGAAAATATTTGGCACTTTACATGCGTAACTTTAAGAGCAGGTTTTGCAAACTCATATAGATATTGATAGATTCGCAAATAAACCACATTAACCGTAGACTCTGACCAAAAAGGCGATTTAGAGAATGGGTAGTGAAGCTTTTCGAAGAACTTGGTGGATGCCGAATTTGAATGCTTAAAATGTTCCGTTATCTGGGGTGAGGCGGACGTTACCACCTAGAGTGTTCCATGATTTGCGTCTCACAATTGTGGCGTCTCAACTTTTCCTTTTTCCTAATAGAATAAATGACAGAATTTGAATACTTGCAAACAGCCAAAAGGAGCCGAATTGTAGATTTAGCATGGACGTAAATTTCACCATGCCATTTAATGCGTACATATTTATCGAAATGTTTCGCGGGTGAGAGGCTAGGTTTTGATCAATCGCTGTCTTCGAGGAGACATAAAATATCGCATTCGCAAGAGTGAACGACATTGTCTTTCTTCCCTTACTCTATATTCTGCATTATGAACATTTATTCTCAATAAATCACTTAATGAAAGGCAGATTCTAGAGGGGATGATCAAGCTAGAGTCCCGAAGTCGTTGATGGCATCGCTGGCGAACTTTAGAATAGCTTATAGGCACAAGATGTACATTCCCCTCCTATCTAGGGCAGCAAAGATTCTTACTTTCCCTTCTTTACGCTCTTCGTTTTGATTGGCCATACGCAGCAACTGATGCCGTATTTTCCTCTCCTTTCGCCATCTATTAACGTTATAAGGTGCCACATCAATTGGTGCTGGATCAGATGGATCATTTTCTGACTCACACCCCTTCCGTTGCCTCAAAATTCCATGAGGGTTGTGAAGAGATTACTAGAAATCTTCAACTCCCAACCGGACAGTCCTAAGGCCGTTCGGTTTAAGAGGGGAATTCGTCAAAGACGAAGAAGTTCGGCTTTGATTGTCCTTTTAGACGTTCAACAGATGGCGTTCCAAAAATTTTAATCCCATTTCTCATCCATTTACCTAAATCCCTGATGTTCATATGCTATTATACAAATCTCTGGCAAAATGGAAGACCTCCCACGTAATGTCTTCCTGGACTCCGTCGCGACTATCTTTATTAAACACGCAAAACTACGTTCTGTACATGGAAGAGGTGACCCTGTAAAAGGGAAGTCGTTCATGGGAGTCATATTAAGAAACAACGTCTGCGTGATTAACATTTCGCGTTGTCATGAGCTCGCCTAGAATGTGATTTTAGACGCCAATTTCCTACTTAAGCCTCAAGCAATCATGTATTGTACGTAGTCTATGAGTACTACCCGACAATCCTCCCAGGCGAGTGTTTCGATGTCTCCTCCCCAAAAAAGACGCAGACAATATCTACAGATTCTTTTTCATTGATTAACGTAAACAACGTCACTTCTCGGCTAACGCACATTACAACTGGGCTGCAGAGCTGCACTCAATGTTAAATAAGCAATGTGAGACGTTCTCATAGGTCGGGGTTAAACAGGGACGGACGAATTTTATTAAATATGCGATCGATACCGATGACTTTATGTCGGTATGGTAACCACCCCGGCTCATACCAACTCCTCTCTAGGGCGAAATGCATCGTTTGATAGACGATCTGTTCCATAATGATGTTATAGCGTCATCAAAGTCACTCAACATAAAAGTCTCCAACTGCATTAGTAATGAAAGTCGATTCCAGCTTGCGGCTGTTTGTTGATTACAGGAAGATAAGCGCAATGATTGGGAGGAAGCGCATCGTTTGGATCAGGTGAACGATCTACTGAATTCTCTGCAGAAAACTAGGTAGCTCTTTACACTGTGAGTGCTGTAAAGCATTAGTATTGCTCAAGATGCGCCTTGCGAATGCGGGGCATTCAACGTAAACGAGGACAAGGAGTCAACATATGATATTTCCAAACATTCATAGTCACCGACTTCTCCACTCTCCAGTATTATCCTCTATA